CGGCCATGATGAGTATTGCCGACGATGGAACGACTCCTTTTACAAAATGTTCACCTGTTCCGTAGTATCGTTTTTGAAGCGGGAAGCTCAAAAAACCGCAAATTTCTTACGCAGACTGTGAAGTTATGAGTGCATTTCAGACTTTGCCGATGCGCTCATCTTGATTTTTGAGGCATTATCTATAAGGAACAACTCTTATTTTTGCTCTAGCAAAAGTTTGCAACAGGCCCATTGGGGAAGTCCACCAATTAGTAGATGATAAATACTCGCTTTGATAAGATTCAAGGAGAAAAGAGTGCCATTCTCGGTCAATAATCTTTGCACTATGTTCTTTTCATAGAAAATTGATAAATTTACAAGGTGCCAGAGTATCAGTCTACATTTTACACACTATCAAAAGTCAACCAAACCATGCAAGAATCTTTGAACGAGACAAGATTAATCATTTTTTCTGCTGAATAGAGAGAAAAATAGGTTAAAAGAGAAAAACCTTTCGTTGATTTTTATTTAAAAACAAAAGAAAATACCTGTCTGGCAAGATGAGCTCCAATCAAGGAAAGTGAAAGATAGTAGGGCCACGTTTGGTCACACTGCAGACCACAAAGAGCTAGGTTAGACAACATAAGTACAGAAAACCCACTTAACCATTTTTGCGTGTTGTCTCCAAAATAGATGGCTGTTGATTTGAGACCTAACTGTAGATCATCGCGTACGTCCTGAAATAAGCATGGAGTAAATAAAGAATTGAATATAGTGATAATTTAAACCATCTATGGAGAGAGGTACTTTAGTCCATGGAAGGTAAAACGATTTTCTTTGAATTGGATTGAAAAATCAGATTTTGATGTAAAATTTAATGTGCACAAAGGAGCTTTAAAAACATACTTTGTATTCTTTTATTCTTGATGTGCCCCCTTAGAGGGTAAAGAGGGTCTTAGTATAGAGGCTTCTGTGAGAACTAAGAAACATACATTTTTGATACGGTTGTATTAAAATATCATATTCTTGCATTTACCTGATGGGCATAAATAGTATCATAGATCACAGTCCAACAAACACCTGCTACATAGAGGGGAAGGCAAAGGAACCAATCACAAGAGCCCTGCACAGCTGAAAAACCTAACAGTGCACCCCAGTTGAAAGTCATTCCGAGGACCAGTTGAGGCCAGTTCGTTATCCTCTTCATCAGTGGATAACTAATCACAAGTGCTGAAAAGAGAAGAAAAAAGTGAGAAGAAATTACAATCAGAATAAAACGCTCTAAAATTTCTAACGATAAAATTGATGTAAGAACAATAAACACACCTTAAGATTAATTTTCTTTTTGAAAAAAGGACCCATAGAGCGGAAACAGAATGATCATGGTGATACACTAAAAAACTTTCAATTTGGGTGAAAATATTTAGAATTTCCATGATGCTACAGTCTTGGAATAGTTGTGAATGGACTTCTCCAATGGGTAGGTACTGATGCCATGAAGTTTTGAGCAAGTGTAGAGTCTGGCCTCCATAAAATTTAGAATTACTTACATGTTTGGATGGAAATTTTAAGAAAATTGCAAATATCATGGTCCAAATTATGTTGCCAACCCTTTGGCAGTAACTCAAAGTTCAAGGACGTAAAACGAGAATTTGAGAAAACCACTGTTAAAGTTTACTAATGCTGTTGCCAGTCTTACAACCAGTTACACTTCAAATGCCTAAAACATCATTGACTCCAAGTTTTTTTTGGGTTCAGTATTAACCCTCTAATGTATGATTTAATTTTGGATCATGGATTTTGAATGGAATTTTCAGGACCATAGGGAGGTGATTTCACTTATCCATACCTAGAGAAGAGGCTCCAAGGACAATACTGTACAAATTCAACTGAAGTAGGATAAGAAGTCCCACTCCTAGCTGGCCTCCAAGAAATACAAGTGCATCCAACTGAGAGATCTGTCCTTGTACAAGAGGCCTATCTTTCGTTCGACTGACCTGAGAGCAAAAATAAGAGGGAAATTGGTTATTAATAGAGCATCAAAAGTTAATTGAGATCCCCATTCCCTTTGCTAGAACATAAGTTTTTTGACTATCCAGTTGTAATCTTTGATTAAAAAATAAAATGATTATTGTGCTGACTGAAAATATTTCTGATAAAACCATGGCAATCCAAATTTAATTGATGATGTGAGGTGATTAAAAATCTGCCAAGATGGCTATGAAACCATTTACATTATGAGAAAATAAGCTCATGTGTAATTAATGTTCATTCTTTCATAGAAATGTTCATTAAGCAAAGTTGGATAAATCAATCAATTCAGTGATCTAAATCAAGTGCAGAGGGTACAGGATCATATCCCAGAGGTGCAGACACTTCTGAACAACGTGACCAAGGGGTCATGGTCAGCTGATAGTAGAAATTAAAAAACCCTGAACACAAAGTTCTAAGAATTGAAAAGCGATGCACATAAAATTTGAAGTCACGTGTTTTCGGTAAAATCACAGTGTGCATCGGTGTTTTTTGTTTTGTTTTTTTTTTAATTACTTTTTTTGGCAAAATTGCAGCAATTTTTATTCAATTGGTATACGCAGATTCTTTCTGCATCCTTGTTGTATCTATCCATATCATTTGATTATTTCTTGCAATCTCACACATTTTTCAAATTAAATTGGTTTCAGCACATTAGAAACACACCACGTTAGTTTTTCAATTCACAATGGTAGTCTTACTTATGTTCAGATACATAAATTACTGACCTGAAAATAAATGGAATCGATTAAAATAAATCTAATCTATGATTTAACTGAAAACTGATGACCATTTTCCTGTTTCCTAAAGCTAAAATTAGATCTTACTTGTAGGGTATTTTATGTATCAGTGAACAGAACCAGAGATAATGTTTCATTAGCTCAATCAAAATTTCTAACTGTACCAATAATTACTACATTACTTACAAGCACGGAGTTCAGTGGCATGGCGTGCTTTGCAATACATCAATTCATCTCTCATTTAGACCTATGGAAAAGGATCAATAAACAGGGTGTTTGCAACAAACACCTTAATAATTGATCTTTTACCATAGATTGAAATGGAGAAATATTGATGATTGACCATTCACACCTCGCCACTGACAGAGTTGATTCCTCATTCTCAAACAATTATTCATTAATGTGTTTTTAGTAGATTAGCATGCCTCTGGTTTTGGACTTTTGAGACTTCGTCAGATATAAGTCTTTCCTCAGAAGAGGCTTTGTTTGATTTAAGGTTGATTCTGGTTTCGACAAAATAGGGATAGAATAATGAAAATTTTTGTTTTATTATTCATATTTATTTTTCATTACGAAAAAGGGGAGGAAAAAAATTCCTCATTTCATTTGTATGATAAATAATTTAGTGACTGCCAAGAACTTGGCCCCGACAACTTACTTTTGCATCGATATCTTTATCCCACATGTCATTGATGGTGCAACCAGCTCCTCTCATAGTGACTGCACCAAGGCCAAAAAGAGCCAAAAGAGTAAAATCAGGCAAAGAACCAGGGG